TACAAAACTTAAAGAAATTAATTAAGAGACTACATATATACATAAACTCATAGGGTACTCATAAAATTTTTTTTAATTATATATAAAATTATTGAAACAATAAATTTTTTAAAAATATTCAAATAAATACCTATTAAATTTTAAAAAATCATTAATAGATACTCAATGGACTTAAAAAATATTTAATAAATATTTAATGATTTTTTTAAATACATATAAAAAATAATATAAATCTAATATATAAATACACAATCCAACATTAATAAAATTTAATTTTTATTAATTTTATTTTAACTTTCTTATTGTATGATTTGACATTTCTTTAATATCTTTGCAACTATAAAATATTAGGGTTACGATTATATACATTACACAAACAAAGGAGAGAAAAAAGGTGAAAGTAAAAAAAGCGAGAGAAGTGCTGCCGGATACGTAATTCTATTGTGAACTACTGTTTCCTTTTTATAGTAAAATTATAGTATTAGTCCTCAGCCTTTCAAAATTTTTACGCTGCAATCCTTATATGTCATAAGTTTATGATTTGACCCTCAATTTCATTAGTTAATTCATCTTTTACTTTGTGAAACATTGTTATTTAGTTCTAAATTTATGATTGTTAAAACTTAAATTATATTTTACACAAATAATGAAAATAATGTAAAATGCTAGATATGTTTTGGCCTAAAACACCTTTAACATAAGGTAGAAAAGACACATATAATGATAAATGGAGATGCAATGAATTATTAGAATTCCAAGAAAAGTAAGGATAGAAGTGGAATAAAGGAAAGTGAAAAAGTACTAGAAGAATAATACTAAATAGTAAGGATAAAATTTTATGTTTTGAGATAAAACTTTTCTAACAAAAGCAAGTTAAAGTAGAAAAAAGGGGTCCAAATAAGATATAAAATGATAAATTGAGATGCATGAAATATCTAAGAAAGAATGATAGATATAAGAGTATAATAAAACAAATAATAATTTGTAGGGTAAGAATTAAATAAAAATGGTATAAATTTGAGAGGGAGGGTGAGAATGGAGAATCCACAAAAATTAATGAAAGGTGAACAAAAGGTAAGTGAAAAATTAAGTAACAAGAGAATAATACTAACAAGTTATGCATTTTTGTTTTGACTTGAAACATTTCCAATATATATAAGGCAGAGAAAGGAAGAAATTGGTTTTAAAAAGATATAAAATGATAGCAGGAAATTTATGCTAGACGATTTAGAAAGAGTAATAGAATAAGAGATAAAGAATAGTAAAAAAAGATTACTAATATAGATAAGGATTTACAAAGAAACACTCACATGAATATAATATGAAAAAGTAAAGGTAAAATAAATGCAAAAAAGTATTAAAAGTGTAAAATAATGTGAAAAAAATATCAATGTAAGAAAAGGAAATTAGGAGAGGTACATACACCAAGTTAAGCCAAAATTAAAATGCATAACAATAATATAGGTGTATTATGATAAAACGAACTAAAAAATTGAAATATGCTTCACAGAAAGATATATAGAGAGATGTGATCTTAATAAAAGAAATTTAAAAGAATATAGCATGTGAATAGATAATGATAGGAGGTAATTAAGGAGGAGATGATAAAAGGGAGAATAAATAATATCAAACAATTTGCTAATATAAAAAGAAAGAATAAAAAAAGTTCATTGGCAAAATTTTCATAATATATTAATATAGTAAAGAATTACAAAAATTTGTTTTTATTTTTAAAGTTAAGTTGATTAATTTGTAGGTTTAAATATTTTTTCATATCTACCATTAGGACATTTTTTTTATGTAAATGAATACATTTAAATGACTAATTCTCAAAAAAAAAAAAAAACTTTAAGATATATATTGTTATAATTGATTATTATAATAAAAATTTATAATTAATAATAATAATAAATACAGACTAACCGCGCAAAGCACGGATTGAGATCTAGTAATAATAATAAACTCATAGGGTACTCCATTATTTGAACTGGGAACTTTCATTTCTTCTAGCTAGGGTTCTTGCTGATGATGAGACACTTTAGGGATATAAATTAACAGCATGGATAACCTCCCCTGGCCCGCTCGGAATGCTATATCCCCCGCTGCCTCCGCTTGGGGTGCCATATGTAGGGGGATCAAGAGGATCTTGGAGAAGTTTCCGTCCTGCAAAAAAAAGCACAGAAATTAATCATATGCATGTTAGAGAGAAATTAATATATTTTATCAGCTTAACTACTGAGAAAAGCAGTTGAATGAGTCTCTTATATATACCTAGCATAGGGTTGAGAATGAAATCATAAGGAGCAGTGAAAGCTAGCTGAGAAGATAGAAGGAACACGGCCACCAGGAAAACCACTATGAACATGAGTTTTGAGGACTTGGTTAAGGCCATTTCATCAAGAACTTAGTTTCAATCTACTCAATAGAGGACAGCAGAAGGTTGAGTTTCTAGTTGGGTGAAAATGGAGGATCATGTATCTGTGTTATAAAGAGTACTAGGGATCCGTGTATTGACTTGTTCGAACTCTTCTAGTATTCTTAGCTAACTAACCATACAAGCCTTGACTAAAAAGAATTAATTAGTTGCATGCGAAGAACGAATAAAATTCAACTGTTATCTCTCTTCTTTCTTTTTTCTTCCTCCAACAGCTAGCAGTCTTAATTAGCACAACAATTTTTAATTGAGTCTTAGCAAAACAGAAGTAGAAACTGTGGGAATTTCATGTTTCTGAATACTAAAGTATTTCGAGTTCGTAACTGAAATCAAGAAGGGATGAATTAAATTAAATGTGATAATAAAATTTTCTGGATCTTTGAAAATTTTACACAAAAGAAATGCCGTGGGGAAGGGGAATTATCATGATTTTGCGTTTAATTCAATTGAACTAGTCAAAGAAGTTTATATTAATTGAACGAGTCCCAGTTTCCAAATGAGCAAGTTGACATCGGCATTCATGTTTTGTATAGTATGGCTAGAGTAAATATTGAGTGGGATATCTCACATCAATGAGGTAACAAAGAAGCATGTATCTTAAATATAAAGGATAATGATGTGTGCACACCCGGATCCCACACCCGAGTGTGCACACCTCCACATAAAAAAAAAAAAGATCCAACACTCGGTCCAATTTTTTTTTTATGTGGAGGGGTGCACACCCGGGAGTGAGATCCGAGTGTGCACCAATCATGATCCAAATATAAAATATGTTACTTCATTTATTGTCATTTAGTTTTAAATTAGATGTAAACTTTGTATTAAGTTCACTTGTATAATTTTCATATGACATTAGAACTAGCTCATGTATCTTGAACGGGAGGTGAGGTAAGGACATGTTGAGTAAAAAAAATCTATATCTAATCTTAAATATAATAAAAGTTATTTCATTTATTATCAATTAATTTTAAATTACAATTATTGTGTTGAATTTCACAATAATAAAAGCTTCATTTATCACTCTTGCAGTGGTAGCTAGCTCGCATAGGTGGACTGATTTTGCTGCCACATGAATTTTCTTGGGTTGAATTTTCTTCTTTCTTCTCAAGCAATACTTCTTAATTAAGTTAATTTATGAGATATAAACCTCCCTTTTTAGCGTAAGAGGCTAATGTTTGGGTTCGTTTGTTAGGGCATCTTCCAACAACCAATAAATGGAAATACGTGTTTTGTTTATTGAGTTGACATTTGTGTTCACATCTCATGACAAGAACAATACAATGTAATGACTTAAACGCTTAATAAGTTGAATTTTTTAATTTAAGATGACATTTAAAACATATGTTTTAAGCTAAGCTTTTGCTAGGTTAGTCCCTAACCAAAGTTTAATTCAATTCAGCTTGACCATAACGATGCGAATTGCATGCGTGAATATTTGACTTGTTTGGGGATATCTGGTAAAAGTTTTGACAAAATTAAAGTCTCAATTAGTTCATAACCAATTAATTAGGCCGTGGCTTGGAGATCAACCTAACAAGTATTGCCTGACACCAAACATGTCAAATTCAGGCATGCAAGGGAAAAGGGTTAGGATTAAACTATGAGAGACTAAGGTAGCAAAAGCTTAGCTTAATACATATGTTTTAGATGTAATCTTAAATTAAAATTAAGATTTAACTTATTAAGCATTTAAGTCTTTACACACACATCTATATATATATATATATATATATTGGTACATTGAATGGTAAATTATATAACAGAAAGTAGTCATCTCTTTTCTAAATCCCTTCCTATCCATTTTAAAATTTAAATTTGAGATCTTTGAAATGAGATTTAAACTCTTAATTATTGCAACATTCTCTAAGGGACTTTTACACATATATAAATATATAATTTTATTATTCTTGTCACATGCAATATGTATTAAGTCACGTGACAAAACCCGTGATTTATAACAAGCTTACACGTTAAATGGCGCATGGAGTGAGAAAATCCCACATCGAATATCTAATAAAAAGGGCATATGGATTCGATACAAGAAAGACTATTTCATTTATAATCAATTGGTTTTAGATTAGATACACAAACATTGTATTGAAATCCACATGTGTAGTTTTCACATGATATCATAATCATAAGCTTCACAGCATATGTTAGCTTTCCCAATTCTTGTTTTCATTTTTTTTTCTTGTTTGCAAACTTCATCTATTTAATTAGTTTCTTTCCGTTCTCAATAAAAATAAAGGCATTTTCCCCCTTTAGTTCCTGTTTCAATTTCTCAATACCATTCTCAAGATCCATGATTATCTTTTCATGTTCTTTTTAGTTTGTTTGATTGCTGCTTAGACTCAGAAAAAAAAAAATTAAAAAAATCTATCTATATTATTATTTTCTTTCACTTCTGCAATTCTCCTTGATTTTATTTTCTATTTTAGCAACTTTTATTGTTATTAGTGTCTCCTAGTTTCAATTAAAAAGAAAAAAAAAAAAAAAAAGAACTCCTTTATTTGATTGGCAGAACCCTTTAATTGATTTTGTCCAAAACAATTTCTTTTGGTTCGTCCAATTCAATTACTTCATTACATGTTCTTAATGAGCCAATTTTCTGTTACTCTATTTTTTCTACCAATTTTGTTTTCTTATACTTCTTTACCTTTTTTAATAATCCTTCTATTTCAAATTACGTTGTGCTTTTCCATCCTCCATCACACATGTTGACTTCTTCTCTCTTAAATTCTTCTAATTCTCTTTCTCTGCCTTCTTGTTTTCCTAAACTTTCATTTTACAATTCAATCTTTTATGATTTTTTCCTATCTCATCATTTACTATTTCAGTTTTCTCTTTCTTTGGTTTTATGCTATTTCTTCAATTTAGTTTTCTCTTTCTTCAGTTGCTTTGGGTAGATTCTCATGTTTCACCTTCAATAAACAAAAACTTCAAAGTGTTTTTAGCTTCAAGATTTCTTCTTTCTTCTCACTTACATATTGGCTTCAAAATCAAGACACCTTTTGCATTTAGTGATGGACTCACCATGGCAATTACAATTTGCTGTATCAAACTCTAGTTGGTTTTGATATTATAAAATATGATTCATGTAATTATGGTAGTAAGGTCTACATTTGTGAAAATTACGCATGTGGTAAATATGGATTTTAACATAAAGCTTGCATTTAATTTAAAACAATTGGCTATAAGGGCTATAAGGGGAGTAGCCCCCTTGTGTTTAACTCATATAATTCTTTGTTACATACTTGATGTGGGATTTTTTCATTCAACACACCTTTTCATGTGCAAGCCCATTATAATCATGTGACTTAATATGCCTCTTTACATTTAGGCTCAATATTAATTTCGATACTTGAGCTCTGATATCATATAAAAGAAATTAAAGCATGGAAAAGAGAAAAGAAAAAACTAAAAGAAAGGCATATTGAAATTGTTACATAAGGAGCCCAATCTTTGGGCTTACTAGATTAAATAACAAAATTAAACTTTGCAAGTTGAGCCTTCAAATGAATATGGTTTATTAATTTTATACCGTATCATGTAAAGTTAAAAACAAAACTAATTTACAAAGTAGAAGTGAGGAAGTAGTTGAATTGATCGTGATGAGTTTACCATTCAGTGCTAGATCTCAGGTGCAAGGATTTTTCTTCATAAAAATTTAATTGACAAATTATAAGTAATTACAGAGAATTTAATAAAGAGATTTTTATTGATCCATTAAATGGCCTCTTAGATAACATATTGACCAAGAAACTCTAAATCTAACATATAACAATGATATCAAATCTAAGATTTAATCCCATAATTACATGAATCACATTTTTTAATATCTCTATCAATATGGACACATATGTCAACCAAACAAACAAACACATATTTCCTTTCTATAGTTAAGGAAAAACACCCTAACCAGTGAATCCAAATATTATCCTTCTACGTTAAAAAGGGAGTTTAAGAACTAAGAAGTATTGCTTGAGAAGAAAGAAGAAAATTCAACCTAAGAATTTTTTTTTTTTTTTAAATTTTGGATTACATAATTGGAGGTAACCCCCTCTAATCTCTTAATCTACCACACTCACATATTATATTATTCGAATTCAAAATCTCTTAAGGAGATTACTATTAAATTACTTAAATAGTTGGCCAACCCAAGAAAATTTTTGAAGCAACAAAATCAGTCCACCTATGCGAGCTACCTACAACCATGACAAATTTTTGCATGCCAGTCTTCTTCAACCAGCTATTCAACTGAATTAAATTCAAAACCATGACAATTCCCCATCACCCAGGGCAATTCTTTTGTATAAAATTTTCCAAGATCCAGAAAATTTTATCATCACATTTTCTTCCCTTCTTGATTTCAATTACTGACCCGAAATACTTTAGGCTTCAGAAACATGAAATTCCCACAGTTTCTGCTTCTATTTTTCTTATTCCACTGCATTCTTTACTTGGGTATAACCCAGATAGAAAATTTTGAAGCAAGAGAAGAAAAGGAAGCCCTTCTGTACTTCAAATCCCAACTGAGTGACCCACAAAATGCACTCTCAGGCTGGACACACAACACTTCACATTGCACCTGGAGTGGTGTCTTGTGCAGTAACAATGGATCCTTTGGAGTACAGTCTCTCCAGCTTGGCGGCCTTGGCCTTACCGGGCCCTTATCGCCTCAGCTCGCTAACCTCACTCTCCTCCAGAATCTCAACCTTTCCTTCAACTCATTTTCTGGGAAAATCCCTCTGGAGTTTGGTGGGCTCTCACTTCTCGAGCATATTGACCTGACCAAAAATTTCATTAGTGGCAATGTCCCGGCCATTTTGTCAGCTTGTCATAACCTTACAACACTCAAGCTAGCAGGAAACAACCTCACAGGTAACCTTCCACCTGAACTTGGCAACTTACAAGCACTCAAGATACTTGATGTTTCAGTCAATAACCTCACCAGCAAAATCCCTTCTACATTCGGGAACCTTTCCTCTCTTACTGTTCTTGCCCTTGCAAGAAACCATCTTCTTGGAGAAATTCCAGCTGAATTAGGTCGTCTACAAAACCTTCAATACATTCATCTCTCAGAGAATCTTCTTTCCGGGGAGATTCCAGGTTCTTTCTACAACATTTCTTCATTAATCTACTTATCTCTAACCCAAAACAACCTCACAGGAAACCTACCAAATGAAATGGGCAAAGCTTTCCAAAATCTCAGACAACTTTTTCTAGCACAGAACAACTTCCAAGGAACTATACCAGTTTCTATAACAAATTCTTCTACAATTGAATTCCTTGATTTGTCTAGAAACAGGTTTCATGGAATAATTCCACTGTTTGGCAACATGAAGAATCTCATCAGGTTGGACATCGGTGAAAATAATCTTATTTCTTCTACAGCAAGGAATCTTCAGTTGATTGATTCTTTGGCAAACTGTACTCAGCTGGAGTATCTGATGATTTACACCAATCATCTTTCCGGAGAATTTCCATCCTCAGTTGCAAATCTTTCAGCCAATCTTCAACATTTTTGCTTTTCAGACAATTTATTGACCGGGGACTTCCCTCAAGGTGTCGAAAAATTTCAAAACCTCATTTCTGTATCTATAGAGAGAAATTCTTTTACAGGTGAGATCCCGAGGACCATAGCAAAACTTACAAAGTTGCAGAGTTTTGTAGCTTACCAAAATATGTTTTCTGGGAATATCCCAAATGTCTTTGGCAATTTTTCTCAACTTTATGATCTCCAGATAGGAATTAACCAGTTTTCTGGTGAAATTCCTCCTAGTTTAGGGTACTGTCAACAGCTCAATACCTTAGACCTCGCTGAGAATAGACTTACCGGAAGCATACCAACAGAAATATTGAGGCTTTCCGGGTTGACTTACTTGTTTCTGGGACAAAACCTTCTAGGGGGTTCTGTCCCTAGTGAAGTAGGTAACTTGAAACAGCTTGAATACTTTAATGTTTCTGGTAATCATTTATCTGGAAATTTAACTTCATCCATTGGAGACTGTTCATCTCTAAGCTTTCTTATCTTGGCAAGAAACAACCTTAGTGGTGAAATTCCAAATTCAGTTGGGAAGCTAACATCAATGGAGATTTTAGATCTTTCTTGTAACAATTTTTTTGGGAAAATCCCATTAGACTTGGAAAATCTCCAATATCTAAGGGAATTAAATTTGTCTTTCAATCATTTGGAAGGTGAAGTTCCAATAGGAAAAATCTTCTCAAATCTCAGCTCATTTTCTCTCCAAGGAAACAGTGAACTTTGTAGCTCCAATCAAGAAATTGCAAGAAATTTGGGAGTTTCTCCATGTAAAACAAAGAAAACAGGTAGAAAAAACTTGCTCAAGATTCTAGCTTCAGTAGCAGGGGCTACTCTTTTTATCACTGTGATGTTATGCTATTTATGGTCATGGATATGCAACAAGCAGAAAAACAAGGAGAACAAAGGCAATATAACTTCTCCTTTAAAGGGTTTTCCTTCGATGATATCTTACAATGATATTTGCCATGCTACAAGCAACTTTTCAGCTGAAAATTTGATTGGAAAGGGAGGTTTTGGTTCTGTTTACAAAGCTGTGTACGGTAACACTACCCTGGCGGTGAAGGTACTTGACCTGCAACCAAGCAGAGCTTTCAAAAGTTTTCTAACAGAATGTGAGGCATTGAGAAATATCAGACATAGAAATGTTATCAAGATCATTACCTCGTGCTCAAGCATTGATCACAAGGGAGACGAATTCAAGGCGCTGATTATGGAGTTCATGCCTAATGGAAACCTGGATAGGTGGTTGCATCCTGTGCCAGAAGATGTGGAATCAGGGTTATCCTTGACTTTGTTGCAAAGGTTGAATATTGCCATAGATATAGCTTTTGCAGTGGATTATCTGCATAATGACTGCAATCCACCAATAATACATTGTGACCTGAAACCTGAAAATGTTCTTCTGGATGAAGACATGGTCGCTCATGTTGGGGATTTTGGATTGGCAAGGTTTATTTCCGAAAATCTATCACCAGGCACAAGCAGCACAATTAGAGTGCAAGGTTCAATTGGTTACATTGCTCCAGGTAAATTAAACCACCTCCCTTGCCAAATTCATTTTCTTATTCAAAAAAAATTGTTGTTGGTTGATACTTCTAAATTTTCTCCCTCTTTTTTTTTTCATTTTTTTTTTAATAGAGTATGGTCTGGGAGGCAAGGCATCAAGGAGTGGAGATGTGTATAGTTTTGGGATCCTTCTGCTTGAGATATTCATTGCAAAGAAACCAACTGATGGGATGTTCAAAAAAGGATCAAGCCTCAATGAATTCGCATCTGCATTGACTACTGATGACCTAGCTTTGAATCACATTATTGACCCCAAGCTGTTCAAAAAAATTAACGATGGAAGTCCAATTCAAAGCTTGAACATTACTTCCTCTACTACTACTAGTAGCAGCTGCAACAGGAATCGTACCAGCCACAGTTATACGATGGGAAAATGTGAAGAGTGTTTAAGAGCAGTAATAAGAGTTGGTTTGGCTTGTGCAGCTCAAAATGCAAGAGATCGTTTATCCATCAGAGAAGTCCAGGCAAAGTTACAAGAGATTAAGAAATCTTTGCACCACTCTTGAAAACGAGCATGTGGCATTGGTGTGTGCAGTCACAGTTGTGCAATCATGGTCGTAGGTTCTTCGAATTGCAATAATCTATATTTCTAGGAATAAGCTTGTGATATAATTGTTTAATGTCATTTTTTATCTATGAGAAATTATATGAGGGTTTTTTCTTTAGATTGTACAATAAAAAATAATTTTTTTATGAAATGCATTTTATAAGCTTTTTTTTATCCCTGATTTTGTTGCTATCTAGATGGATAGGATGTGATTTTGAAGAGATTTTACATAATTATCTTTCTCTGCATAGAAAAGAACCTAAATGTATAATAATAGAAGTTTTTAGACTTAATTAATATCTTTTGAAAGCTAAGGGACTATATGCAAGAAAACAAGTTGTAAACAGGGAACTAAATGAATTCATTCGACATTTTAGGATCAAAGTGCTCATTAATTAGAAGCTGGAGAACCAGATCTACTATTTTAACACTGAAGAAATTGCGAAAAGATCCAAAAACCCGCCACGAGTTTCGTGTCGACACCAACTTTTAGGTGTTGCCACCATGCGTTTAGCCTTTGGAAAATAGGTGCTGAGTCAAATAAACAGGGATGCCGATGTCTGCATTGTGGCGCAGGCACGCTAAGTACTGGATGGTATTCTAATCTTTTATTTTAATTAAAAATGATCTTTTAATCTTTACAAAATTATCAAACTTACTCCTAGAGTAGGCTATTTTTGTTAATTTTCAAAAGAAAATCTTAATTAGGATTTAAAGATGTCTAATAGAAATTTTTAAATAATTCTCTTTTAATTTTTATGGCCCTAAAATTATTTTTACTAAATTTTAAGTTCTTTACACACTTTAACTCTTTTTTTTTTTTTGAAAAAATATTTAGGAATTTTTTTCATTTTACAAATAAGAGTATGTACATGTCATAAGTTGAAATCCTATAATTTAATATGGATTTTAATTTTAAATTTTTTATTTTATAAAATAATAACTTAAATAATAAATAATTAAAAATTATTTAAATTATAAAATTTATTATATTATTAAATTATTAAGTTATATAAGTAGTTTTGATTCAAACAAGCTTTGCATCAAGTACAAGGAAAAAAGTCAAAAAACTGAAAAAATGAAAAAAAAATGCTCTTGCGGCCGAAACATGTCGACAGAAGGCCCAGCGTCATGTCGGTTTGATTCCTAGTTTTGAAAAATGGTGTAATGAATACAAAAGCCCTCAAGTTTATAGGATTATAACTTTAAATCCCTATATTTAAAAGATATCATTTAAATCTTTAAAATCAAACAAAATTACTTTAATTTAGGGCATTAGGGTTTAGTTATTGTAATGTTAAGGATTAGATTATATTTTTGGGGTTCAAGATTTAAGGTATTAGAATTTAAATTTTTTAGGATTTACATTTTTTTAAATTGGATGTTTATGATGTTAATTAGGGATTAAATTTTTTAGGGTTCAATATGTAGGATATTAAGCTTTAGTTTTTTCGAATTAAAGTTTAGGGTGTTAGAGTTTAGCATTTAAGGAGTTAAGGTTTAAATTTTTTGAGTTCAATATTTTATGATATTAGGATTTAAATTTTTTGGATTATATATTTTATAATATTAGGGATTGGATTCTTTCAAATTTAGTGTTTAATGTGTTAGGGTTTATATTTTCACGGTTTAAAGTTTAATATTAAAAAATTTAGGTGTTTAATTATTTAAAAATTAAATTTGTAGGACCAAAAAATATAATTTAAAGTTTTAGATTTAAAAAGAAAAAATTAAAAAAAAAAACTGTAGGGACCCCTATAGCATTACCCAAAAAAAGAAACATGATTTTTGGAATTTTTCATTAAAATAAAAAATACAAAATTTAACAATGTTAAAAAAATAAAATATATATTTGGTATTAGAAAGAAAATGGTTTAGAGGTTTTTTTTTTTTTTTAATTTAAGAATTTTTGTGACTTTCTAAAATTTTAATTAAAATTCTTTATTATGAACTTTTAATTGAAATGACCAACTAGGATTAAATTTGATAACTTTTTGAAGTTTGTGGACCATTTTGGTAAAAATAAAAGGTTGAGACAATATTTAATATTTATGGTAAAAGTTAAAGATTAAATTTAACATTTACTCATAAAGAAATAATGAGTTATTTACGTAGGCAGGACTAATTGATCTTAACTGAACTGCCATCAATAAAAGATCTGTAGTGAAGAAATTCAAATTCGTAAACAGACAAACGGTGCATGTCTAAGTTTTTTTTTTTCTTTTTTTTCTTTTTTGTAGAAGAGAGAGATAGATTAGATCATACGGTTACAAATAGTTCTGGAAACAGGATTTTCGATAGCATCCAGATACACAATGTCGGTTATACCCAAGGGACAATCATCAAATATAACAGAAGCTGAATCAAAATGTCGGTTATACCCAAGGGACAATCATCCAATATTAATAGTGGAAGGTTGACTGACCTGCCGAAACCCTAAGTATTTTAATAAAATTAAAGAAACGATTAAATCAGAAAAAGATGGAATAAGAAGCCAAGGTATTATGAAAATGATTGTGGTATAAAACAAGGGTTGAGCTCTTACAAACAAGAGTGACAGACGTGCCTCTAGAATTGTCTTTCTATTCTAAAATGGACCCTTAATTTGTGTTTGGATTTTCACAACCACAGCCCACCAACCTACCATCAGCTGCACCTTGGACTGCACATTAGGTTTCCATCGACCTCTTCTGGGTTGCAAACTTGCAGCAGGCACTAATTGGGCTTACAAACTACCCCTAGTTGCGCACACAATTAAAGTCCACGCTCTCATAACTTATTACAAACATTTATTCAAAAATCAATTTGCAACAAGTAAAAGAGCCTACTCCCCGTAACTTCACGTATGAAATTTTTCTTGCTTATAAAATTCATATTTCCAACATGGTTCATTGTTCATGTCATTCCTCATTAACTATTCATCTAACCGATTAGGTAGTTAATTTAACTTTATTACACTTGAAAATAGATAAGGATAAAAGAGCTGAATTTGGAATGTTAATTATATTCAACTATCCAAAATTATGTTTAAATAATGAAATGGTTAATTAAATATATTTAATTAATTTAAAGTTTGGCCTAAATAATCTAGGAAACATTAAGCAAATTTTTATGAACATTGTTGTTGCTAGTTTTCCGTTTTTGTATCAAAATAATGCAAATTACTAAATTAAAATTAAAAAATTTACAACTTAAAAAAAGTTTAATTTTGATTTTCAATCTAAAAATTTTATACTGGTGTACTTAACAGGTTAAATATTCCTGTTTTAATTTGGATAAATGTCAATTTTGCGTCATCAACTTTAGAGTTTTGCATAATTTTCATCCTTCAATTTTTGTATGCATTTTTTTGGTATCTTAACTATATATAAAAAATGTACTTTTTTAATTTTTTTGTTAATTAATCCATTTAGTCTATCTAAATATACACATTATTAGTCCCTCAACTTAAAGTTAAAAAATGAAAAAAATATGTATTTATTATAAATTGAGAGATTAAAAATATACTTATCTAAATAAAAGAAATGATTCATGCACGTCATGAATCAACACCCGACTCATCACGAATCAACACCAGACTCATCACACAAGCATTTCAAATGGAAAAAATAATATTTTATTTTGATATATGCTTATCCTAACTTATTTTGAATAGTCTGAAAACTTATTTTCTCAAATGCTGTAAGTGCCCTTGTCTTCTTTCTCATGCTTGCTCTACTTCTTTGCTAGTCATCTTCCTAGACTCATCCTCTTTGCCATTCCTATTGTTATGCTAGCATAGTTAAGAGAGAGGTACTGTTGATCTTCTCCAATTTTCTTTTTATTAAAGTTAAAATTAAGAGATTAAAGTTAATTATTTGGGTTTTTTCTAAGCACAGAAGGGACAATTTTCTTAATCTTAAAAAATGTAAGGGTTAAATTTAACAAATAGTCAAAAATCCCTTCTCTTTCCCAGATCTATCTCATCTCCAACACGAACAAAAATGAGAAAAATCCATGACTTTTTTCTTTTTCAAATCTTAGTTGGAGAAGAATATGAGAGGGATTCAACCAAGCATTTAGAAGAACATAGCAAGTACAAGTAGAAAGATGGAAAAAAAAATCATTTGAAACCCATAAAATTCAAGACTAATTTTCCTATTTTCAAGTGCATAATAAGTCCTTCATCTCTCAAGGTTTTTGAATCTCAAATCCCTTTACCTCAACATTTCAGCAATGTGGATCTTTGTGGGGGAAGAAATTGAAATGGTGGTGCTAGTTTCGGTGCTGCTTCAGAGGAAGGAGGCTGCAGTGATGAGAAAATGGGCGGGTTTTCGTGGGAGGGAGAGGGATTAGGTAGTCTGGTGTTTCTGGGATCAAGAGTTTAGATCCAGGTGTTGGCTGGAGCAAAAAAAAAAAAAAAAAAAAAAAATTTCAATCTGATAAAAAAGAAAAAAAAATGCTAGATCCAAATGGGATGAAATCAATTGTTACTAGTGGGTGATGAGTACCCAAATCGTGTGATGAGTATCCAAATTTTTTGGATTCTTTTCTATGGAGAAGCAAGGGGAATAGATAGAGCGGTAGGAAGAGAAAGAACGAGAGTGAATGAGAATGGGGGAAGAGAAAGAAAGGAAGGAGAAAGGAGGAAGAAAAAGAAAGGAAGAAGAAGGGAGGAAGAAAAAGAAAGCAATGGCCAACAGTGGTGATGGTGTCGCTGTTGGCACCGATGCTGGAGAAGACATGGAAATAGTGAAGAATTGAAGAAGGGAGAAGGGATTGAGTTATTGTGTGTTTGGAATAAAAAATAGAGTACGGTTGGCTACAAGGATAAGTTCTTCAACACTTATTTTTAATTAGACTAGAAATCTATATTGTATAGGGGGTAAGGGGTTAACCCGGTGGATACATAAATCACTTCTCTAAGTTCTCTTAAATAAATTTAACAAACTAACAAAAAGATTAAAAAAGTATATTTTTTATGATTAAGGGACTAAAAAGATGCATAAAAAAATTAAGAAACAAAAATTGACATTTAATCTTTTAACTTTGGATTTTAATTATTTATTTTGATCACTCAAATTTTGGTTAAAAAAATGAAAAAAACCCAATAACTGCAATATTATTGAGCGCGGGCCGAATTAATAAGGTAGTGCTTAGGCCTTTA